TACTGCAGAGAGAAAGTGCCAGAAAGAGAAGTTAATTGAATTGCATTGGTCTGCCTGCACAGCTCTCACACAAAGAGAGTTTCTTTCTATTCAGGTCCTAAGCAAGCCCCTGCACAGAGCCCATGGCCCTCACCTGGCATGACTTCAGTCACTAGAGATCCCTCCGCAGGGAGCTCCCGCACAATCTCATTGTCCTCTTCATTTATATCTAGCCAGCGGCCACAGTTGAATGAGTATTTTTCTTTTGTCAGCGTTTTCAGCAGAGTTACCTTCATTAAACCAAACACTGCATGAGTTCAGAGGCTTAAAGACAAAAAAGCAACAAGCTCCTGACAGGTTTTTGCCAGGGAGACAAGAGTAGGTAGCAGCAGAGAAATAAAACACATTCATAATGAGACCATTGTTCCAACATGTGCGCTGTAGTGATGCATAGAGCAAAGTCTGTCATAGCTGACGGTTTTTCATTCCTTCTTTCTCCAATCACTCCATGGTGTTGTGAAAGTTTTGAGAGAGTCTGTGGCTCTTAAAATTGTTCATCATATAACACTGTGTAAACCCACAGAGCAAATCACGGATGGGGTTTGTGCTGCTGGCTCTCACTGCTCAGAATCAATGCATGGCACATCGAGAAAACACCCAGAAATGGCAGCAAGCCTGATCAAAGATCAGCAGTAGCTTCCAAAGGAGTAATGAGCCAATAAAGTGGTGGTCTGAAGATGTCTGGTGAAGTAGGTGAAGGAAGAGCATGCTGAAGATCTATAAAATCATGGTGACATGGAGAAGTCAGAGAGGAGTCAACTGTTCACTCTTCAGCTACAAGAAATACAGGGCATCAAATGAAGCTTGTGGAACAAAGTTCTAAGCAAACAAAGGGCACAATCATCCTGTGAGTCCTTGCCAAAAGCTGTTATGGTTGCTAAAAGTTTAAATGTTCAATGGGAGGCTGAACACCTCAAAAAATGACTGGGAGAAAAACCTACTAAATGCTTTGTATTTAGTAGATCTGTTCAGGAAGTGTCCAGCTGGAAGTAAACTGGAAGAATAAATACTTGTCCTTTTATTACCATTCTCCAGTCATGCCCTTATGTGACACAGGACAGAGAATATCGGGCTAGATGGACTTATGGCCTGACCAGTGTGGCTGCTCTATGTTTTGTAATAGAAAATGGAAGCCTGGACCAACATGAAGCCAACCTGGCACGAAATGTGTGAAAACTGGAACAGAGCATCATTAAGGCTTCCTCTAAGTTCTTAGACGCTAAAAATGGATGTGTAAGTGATGGGATTCATGTGCAGTGAGCCTGATGCATCCAGAAGATATCAGACTGATTGATTTCATAGTCATAGAATCATAGTATTATTTCAGCGGAAAAAACCTTTTAATATCATTGAGCCCAACCATAAGATTATTGAAGAATTTCATGCATCTTAGCCAGGTTTGCTTGAAGAGTTTGGCCCAAGGTGAATCCTAGACACACCTTCAGATCCCTCTTGTCTTCTCTGAACACAATCTTTGCACAGAAAAAGAGGATGGATACCCTAGGGAAATATATAGCTAAGGAAGATCTAAACTTGTCATCTGTAAACAAGCTAATTGCAGTAGCTCAAAGTCTGACCAACACTTTCTTTTTGATAAAGACTACAGCCAGACACCTTTTCCCACTATATTGCAACAACAGCAGTATTTGATGCCCTCTTCCTACTGGAGATGAGTGTTTGGCTGCAGATGCTTTCGCAACTCCATGACTGCAGGAGAGCAGAATCTGTTAAAGCACACTAGAGGCCTGCAAGAAAAACTTCCAAGAGGCAAACTGTGATTTATCATCACAGTTATTTACGGCTGCAGAGCCAAGTGTGTGTTTTGTTAAGAGCAGAGAGTGCCTTCCAAGCTCTTCAGGAGGAGTATGGGTGAAATTTGGAGATTAACTTGCTGCCTAGACCACCGAAGTGAGGCCTGACAGCATGGTGATCAGTGCAGGTAGAGCAAAGGACATGTGACTGAAGATCAAGCAGATCACCCTTCTGATTTCCCAGACAGCACAGTACTGCTCTCTTCTGCACAGTATCTGTGGCTTCCTCCATTCTGCAGATGTGCATCTCTTGCAACAAGGCTGTCAGTGCTTCAGGGCTCCAGCGTGCAATAGGTCGCTGCAGTAATCATTTTTTTGTTATGGACAGTCTAATTAGGCCATAGTAGGAGTGGGTTTACCTCTCTGTACAGTAATGATGGCTAAGAGTAGGAAGCTTTCTGAAGAGCAAGGAAAACAACCCTGGTAGCAGTGATGTGAGACTACAGTGGTCTGACAACAGAAGGTGGGAAAACATGATTTTCACCATCAATCTGAGCTGTTGGAAGATGCCTTTTCCCATTGTTCTCAGTTCCCATACTTAGCATCACAGAATCATTTAGGCTGGATAAGTCCTCTAAGAACATCGAGCCCAACCATTCCCCCAGCACTGCCACATCCACCACTACCCCATGCCCCCAAGTGCGGCATCTACATGGCTTTTAAATCCCTCCAGGGATGGCAACTCCACCATTGTCCTGGGAAGCCTGTGACAGTGCTCAACCACCCTTTTGGTGAACAAATTATCCCTAATATCCAAACTAAAATTCCCCTGGTGAAACTCGAGCTGTCACTTGCTACCTGGGAGAAGAGACTGTCCCCTACCTGCCTTCAGCCTCCTTTCAGGGAGTTGTAGAGTGTGAGAAGGTCTCCTCTGAACCTCTTATTCTGCAGGCTTCCACCTCTCAGTCAGCACTGTCTGTACAGGGAGGCATCTCTGACCACTACACATCAAACTCAGCTGTTAGCTGGGGAACACAGTACTGGCACTGAAGACCTCAGTGACCAATCTGGCTTTTCAGGTCTACCTTGTCTTGCTGTACCCTCACCTTATTCAGATGCCAGCCAGCAAAGGGACTTCGTTTCTCATGCCATATCCGAAGCTTATAAAATGTGCCCAGCTCAGGGAGCTCGATCTATCGAGGGGGAAAATAGTACATTATCCATTTCTGTAAGTCAGGAAAGCACACACACGAAGGACAACTCTGAATATCTTTTAAGAGCTAAATCAGAGAGGAGTCAAAAAACCCCAGCCTAATCCCTGTTTGAAGAAGACAAGCCATACCCATAGGTGAGTAAATAATTCGCATCACCACCAAACCGAATGACTTCACCTCCACTTCAGAGGGACCTAACTAAGCAAAGATCTCATGCTGATGATCTTCGATTCAGTGTTGAAGCTAGTGCCCTGGAAAACAGTATCAAACTAAACTTACCACTCGCACAAGATTCATACCATGAACTTGTCAGTCTGTCCAGTTTCAAAGTTGTCTGAATTATTGTCCAGCTTCATCTCATCTGACTTCCCCTTGTCTCCATAAATCTGGAAGAATATGGTGGCATCTGTCCCTGCATTCTTAATGTCACTTGTCCAGATCCACAGAGACCAGGGGTTTTCTAGAAGGAAAGGTTCAAGATATTTGTTTAAAGAAGTAATTTTCAAAGATGACCTGGTAAAAAATTTCCCCTGGTAGGTAAAGGGGGAAGGATGGTATGAAAGAAGACCAAGACATTTCATCTTTTTCAGCATGAACATAATCAGCTGCTTCATATCGTACTGGAATGAGATTGGCTGGAAATAGAATACTGTGATTTCTTTAAAAAGAATATGAGAAAAACCATAAATCACCACTTTCCAGAAAAGCCATATTCTTCAGTTATACATTACTAACAGAGTAGTGCAGGGATGTGTTCCATCCCTGTAGTTTCAGTGTACTTGTCAAACATCTAGTGCTCTAGCTTCAAAGACCATAATGCCAGGGAAATATTCAAGGTTGCCTTGCGTCAATGAGAGAGAGTCTCCAGTTACCTGTACATGGTGCACTGTGGCTCCAGGTGGCTCCTAGAAGTTGCTTGATATGTGTCTGGAACAAGGAGGAGTATGAATACAGACATGTATCACTTCATCCTGAGCTAATGAACCTTCCTGAGATTGGACTAATTACCCCAGACATGTGCTTTGCAGGACAGGCTGGCTCAGACCCCACTCAGGTATCCCTATCCAGGCTGCATCATGTGGGACAAATACTCTTAGAGCAATGTAAAGTTATTTTCCAAAAGATTTTAAATTTTTTAAATGTGTAAATCCCATCTGACTTCAGTGAGCCCTGTTTTTTATAGTATGTGGCATGCACAAAGATTGTGGCCAGGCTGCAAAATTTTTACCCCTTCAGTCTTAACACAACATTTTAACTGTAAGACCAGGCTACCTGCAGCAACTTTACATTGGTTTTCATACCAGAAGGTGGTTGCATATATAGAGGTGACATAATTTCCTCTGAACAGCCCCTCATCTGCATTCTTTATTGATGATAATATGTGTCACTTCTGCAAGCCTCGCAGCACCTACAGTAGAGGGAACAGCCTTCTTTCCTCATTCAGACATCAGCTGAATTATTAACAAATCTTAATGAGAGAATTGCTAACCCTTTCAGTATGCCCAAGCCCACACCAGCACAGCTTGACCTTCAGAGCCCAGAATGGAATATAAAAATATGATGACATGCATATAAATTAGATTTTTACTGGTCTACTCAGTGTTTGACTGTGAAGAGGCAAGAGCTACTGAAAAAAATGAGGGGAAGAAGGAACTCTCTCTTAGAAAAACTTCTGCCCCTGTTTAAATAATATAAAAAATGTTCATGACCACTCCACTCTGAAAAGCACCAGTGAGTTTTATATGAGCAGAAATGAAGCAAAGGCAAGTTTATGGATGACATATGATAGAGCAGCCTGGTCTCCCTGGAGAAAAAGCAAGGACAATTCAGACACCAGAGACTGTTCCACATGTCTTGTTTGGCCTTGCTGACCTCTTGCTGAAGGGAAGGAGGAGTAATGCATGCATGGAGGGGAAAATGGGACTTTGTACCAGGATTAAATGCTGATAGACGTCTGTAGGGAGAAACCATGTAGGGAGAAACATGGGTGAGTTAGGGTTGCAGCTGCCGGAGGAGACCAGGCATTTCCCCAAATACCCATCATCATCTTCCCAGGGCTCACTGGGCACATACTCCTGTTTCCTATTGCTTCATATCAAGGGATTCAAGCGGTTTGGAAATTCTCTGACAAAGAGCAAAGATTCCCCCAGGCCACAAACACCAGAGAGGGCTAGACCTGACAAACAGTTTCCAGGAGATCATTCACGATAAAAAGAGGAGGGGGAAAATGTACATAATAAGTATAAGCTATACACAAAGCTGCAATCTGCTGCAGGAACATCTTGCAGACACTGTGCTGGGAGATGTTTCACCATGGATACCCCAAATGAGGGTCAATCCAGCTTTGATCAGCTCTACAGAAAGGGACAGTCCTGTATGCACAGGGAGATAGTCAAGATGACATAATAGGTCTCTTCTAACTTCAAGTTTTATGCTTCTGTAATCTGGCAGCTAAAGGTCACAGATTTCTCAAGGCTAATGCTCTCTGTCTATCTCCTGCACTGCAGCGGCAGGGAAATTAGCCTGTCAATAACAATCAGAGCTGATAATAGAGGGTTAAAGGTTGCAGATGCTTTAGCTAAATGGAGCAAGTCTGAGGTGCTATGTGGTTATAACACTGACAAACATTTAGAGAAAGCTTATTTAAATGAACTTCTGTTTCAGCAGG